TACTTTGTGAAAATAAATAAATGAAATTGATGTTTTAAAAAAAGAGAGCAGCCCTTTCAATAGACATAAGTCTATTCAAAAGTTTGAGTGGTTCAGTCTGAGCCATTGAACTTGTCGGTTGGAAAGCTGGCAGTTCAAATCTGCATGGAGGGGTGAGGTCCGGCTGCCTTGTCCCAGCTTCTGCCCACCTAGTAGTTTGAAAGTATGTAAAAGTGTGAGTAGATAAATAGGTACCCACTTTGGTGGGGAGCTAGTGTCCTGTGCGATGGACCTGCAGCAGCAGCAGTGGCAGAGAAAGACCCTGGAAGAAGCCAACACTCCTGCAGATTAACGCTAGCTGCTTTGTGTCAGAGCTAGTTCACCCCCATGGTGCACCGTGGATAGCATGTAAGCAAGAACTGAACAGCTAGCAGTCTTAGGCAGCCGAACTACTCTGTACTAGCAGTGTAGACCTCCTGGCTAAATTGCACCAATAGTAAATAAAATCCAAGCATCATTTGAGGCTGTTGATCAAAATGCCCATGCCAATGGAATATGGCAAATAGATCCTGAGGCAGGGCTACTTTTGTAGGGGCACAAACCCATCCATGTGTCTGGTGAAAACAAGACTTCTTTAAAAAAGTGGGGGTGAGCTGATCTTTTGGGGGGGTTGTTTGTTTCCTTTTCCCCTTTTTACTCCAAAATGTTGCTGAATATTAGTCTATTATAGTAATTTTAAAATATTTTATTGTACAAAATGGAGACTTAAATATCATGTGGTCATGTTTTCATTATCTGCCTTGAGTTCCATTTTTCAAAGAAATGAGGCAGGGGATGAGTTTTAACAAGTATTCAGTAAATAATGTTGCAGCCAGCAGGGCAGATGCCTTGTTTAACTCAGGTTGCCTCTGCATATGCAATTTCAGAATAGCAAGAATCTCTACTCCAGATGCAAGCTGCACTTGTGTGTAAGGGTGCTCATGACTCACTCTTCCATTACAAATTGGTTGGACTTCTATGCCAATACAGTTAATGACAATGTTCGAGACAAAATACTAAATTATAATTAAAATGCAAGCAAATCAAATAGAAAACACAAGTAGTAGGAGTAGTAGTAGAAGAAATAATTATAATAATGATGATGAGGATGCTGCTGCTGCAAATAATAATAATAATACCTAATGATTAAAACCTATTTCAGGAAACAAGTAAGGAACTAATTTAGCTTACTGGACATGCTCTCCAGCAATTATCCACTTACTTACTAAGCAATGCCTGCAAAAGGCCATCATTTTCTTAAAATAAATTGTGTAACAGTCAATTGTTAATAATTGTTCTCATATTAATTCCTAAAATTAACAATGGATTGTTAATTGTCTCTACAGTATTTCATGAAACAAGGTAGTAATCATCTAAGATTCATTTTAGACAGTGACATAAAATAATGGAACTTTAGTCTCTTCCAATTTTAAATGAAATTCTGATACTAAATGGTTCCCAATAAAGTCACTTAGGTAACAATGAAATAATGTAGGAGCTAATACAGAATCCTTCTAAGTATTTTAATATTAAAATACTTCTATGTATTAAAATATTTTAATAACTTTTAATATCTATAGGTTTTAATTGTGCAGCCAGGGTGTTTCTGGATTTTAATTGCATTTTGTACTGTTTATTTATGTGAGCTGTCCCGAGGCTATAAGCGATGGGACGGCATACAAAATCTCTAAATAAATAAATAAATAAGTAAGTAGGAAGACATAACATTCCATAGTTTGTTCTTGGAAATGAACTGAAGGCTGAATTCAGGTCAATAAAAGTTACATATAAACAATTTATAAAGAAGCTCATTTATTTTTCTGTCAAAGGGCTTAAAACTGGTTAATGATCAATTCAGGTTCCAGAAACCTACCTGTCCCCAAGTATTTTCATCCTCTACCCAATTGGTGAACCTCAGATTTAGAGAGATAGCATACAGTTTGCTGGATCCTCTGCCATATTTCTGAAAGTTGGAATTACAATAGCCTGCAGTTATGCAAGGGGAGGTTGGCCACTATTATCAATATGCATGAAAAGCTGTGCTAAACATGGAGACCACCAGTCTATACAGGACATCAGGATTTCAAAAGTTATCTGTCCCTGGGACCTTAGCCTGGGTTATCAAATCTCATTCTGGCAAATAAATCCATGGAAGATAGATTTCTCAGGTGGTTAATCCCTAGTTGGTTGATCCCTAGTAGTGAACAGTTTGGAGAAGTGAGAATCATAGATGTCAAGGGACATTACAACTGACTGATCCTGAAAAATCATCCAGAGGACTGGCGAGGAATGTCCGAAATAAGTTAGAATTGTTTTTTTTACGAAGAATCTACTGCTGCTTTCCACCTTTTCGTATAGCTCGTTTCATCTTTTGACCAAGCAATATTGGACTGAAGGCCAGAAGATGATTATGGTCATGAGAAGATGACAATATTTGACTTTGTGCCTTCTCCATTAGGCCATCGTTATTCATCATTTCCCTCCACTGAAACCCGAGTTTGCGGTCTCCTGCTGTTTCTCACTGTCTGCTGTCCAGTACATATGATATTGAGAGTTCCCCATGAGAAGCTTGCTGATTAATGTTGCTTTTGGGTGTAATCTAAGTGTCAGCTGAGGCCTGGGAATGTTGCACAATATTCTGTTGGACATACCTCAGTTGTTTCTATAGTTATTACCATTTTGGAGGTGAGTTTGAACGAGATTAGGCCTGGAAATCAGGTGGCTCTGAGCTACAGCTCAGTCAACTAAAAATGCTATTTACCACCAGACTGGCCTGGCCAAGGCCAATAGCCTGCTATGGAAATGTCCAAGATGCATATAGTTTAAGTTTCTTTCCTAGTTAGTTAAGTTCAAATGTATTAATTAAGCTGCAGAAGGTGTTGTATGCCAACCAGGAGTCTGTATGTTGTTTGGAGGGTTTTTCGACAGTAGAAGGAACTTAAGTTTGCACTCTGTTCCTAGCTTGCCTGTCTCATCTCTTTTCTATATTCTGCTAATAAAACTCTGTAATTTTTCCCCAAAGGTGTGCTTACTCTCCCTAGATCAAAAGAAATAACTACTGCCACAATATTTTATCTTTCTTTTGTAATTAAAAAAAATAATTTCTTGGGGTAAAGCATCGCAACTAATCTTCTAGATATTAATTATATACAGCTTTCCACCATCTTCTTGCTGCATAATATTCCTGACCAAACCACATGGGAGCACTCTTTTGCCAATAAAGCTATTCTATAGTTAAGGCAGATTTTAAAGCAGAGATCAGCTTAGAATTGAGTTTTTCGATTCTTCACACACAGGGAAATTTAACGGACCAGCATTTATTTCCTCTAACCAGTTTCGTCTCTTCTGTCTGTGCTTTAAAACTTAGCCATTCCGAACTTTTCTCTCAAGGCTTGGTGCCAGCTGAGAAGGATGACTTCATGAGGATGATTTTAAAAAGCTGGGAACTTAGTAAAGATTGTCATTTGGTGGTGCATGAGGAGAGAGAAAAGGAAACCACCTACCAAGTAGTTAACTCTCTTCCACCCACTAAACACAGAAACTACTGCTTCCTCTTGATCTGCAAAAAGCAGCCAACTCCACAGGGTCAAGGGTGTAGTGGAAAGGGTTCTTGGGGGACTGGAGCACCCCCACTGATTTTGGAGAAAGCCCTCACTGGGGTTCACTGTCCCTCTCCCATTGCCTCTCAAGCGACTTAATTTTGCTTGTCCATGGCTGGCAGCTGCCACTGTGTCAGAGCCCTGAATTCAACAGTTATAGAACAAGGATGGGTTTTTCCCCCACAGTTCCTAACAGTCTCTGGGAACTACCTATGTGGAGAGGCCTGCCAGGCATGGCCGCTTTTTTCTGTGACATTTTCCCTCATGAGCAGCCTCTGCTCCTCAGCAACATGAGGTCAGCTTGCCTTTGCTTCTCCAAAATTTACCTCCCATCCCCCTTGACCTCCCCCATCCCAGTTATTTATGCCTGCACTTCAGCTGTGAAGGACGGAATAGTCAGAAAGCAGCTTCAAGGTCACAGAAAGTTCAATGTTATTTTTTTGCAAGGGAGTAGTTGAGTTTCAATTGTAGCAACTAAGTTTGATTTCTCCTTTTGACATAGCCGGACTGGGAGCGGCTCTTTGGGAGAATGGCTTTGAGGTGTGTTTCTGGCTATCATAAAGGGACCCCCACCCCCAGCACACTGTCTAAATTTGCGACTGCACCACTGCTGAGGGGTAGCTAAACCCACTCCTTGTCACCTGGCTGTTTTCTCTGTCCCACATCTCTAGAAAAAAGTCCAGAATGGCACGCTGAATGTTAAACGTTTGATCAGTGGGGAAAGCTTGCTGCTTCGTTGGAAGCAGGCCCGTTAAGGAGAATTCACACAGGTAAGCAGTTTTGAGTTGGAGGCAGCTTCATCAGCCAGCCTCTTATGCACAATTAGCTTGCAGTGAGCCCAAGGAATACAATGCTGGCTTCAAAATAAACATTTTCATGATCAGCCTGCACTCCGATGCCACTCTGGACATACTTAACACAGCAATCTTGTATAAGTCTACTGACGAGTAAGCTGTGGCTAGTTGGGCGATTTCGAGAGTTGACGTCCAACACGAGATTGGAGGCAGTTTGGGAGAAGGCCAATGGCTAGCTGGGGATGCTGGGAATTGTCCAAAACATCTGAAAGGTACCAGCTTGGGGAAAGGTTTGTTTTAAACGTCACGGTTGCTGATTAACGCATCCTGCGTTAATTTATCTAACGACCTACTGAGCCGCCTACCTACCCACGCAGCGCTCGCTTCGGCCTCACTAGCGCACTGCCGACTTGCAGGATAACCCACACCGCGCATCCACTGCCCGCGCGTCCACAGTCACACAAATCCCTGGCCCCGCCTCTTCGAAAGTGAGCGCGGCCAATCACCGTTTCCGCAGAGCCGGCTTCGGCCAATCAGAGGCTGCCTCCCCAGCACTCGGCAAGATGGCGTCGGCGTGAGCGGGGCCGCAGGTTCCTTCATGGCGACTACGCGGCGGCAGGCGGCGGCAACGGGAGTGGACGCGCTTTTCCTCCAGAGCCCGGCGAGGAAGAGCAAAGGCAGGCGAAAAGCTGCTGTGGAGAACTCCCAGGATGGAGCGAGCCCCTGTGGCAAAGCGGAGGGTGAGGCGCCCAGAGAGCTTTCGCGTCCCCCTCAGCGTTTGCCTCTTCCCAAGTGGAAATGCCGCTTGCCGGCACGGCCTCTCTCGTAACCAGCCTCGCCTGGTGCAAATGCCGCCCTGCGTTTAATGGAGCTTACTCCCAAGTCAGCATGCGTCCTCAGGACTACGCATCAGCCCCGGCCGGCGTTAGTCAGTAATGAGGATGAAGCGGGTGGTAGGCCAAAACACATAAAGTGTTGCAGGTTTCCATAAAGCAGACGAGAAAGGCTCTCCTCAGTGGCTCCGTGGAATTCGCTGCCCTCTCTTTGCCCCTAACCGCGTCTGTATTTCTCATTGACTGGGAGAAGATAATTTTGTAAAATTTTGTCTGTCGTTTGGCATCTTTTTTCTGCCCTGCAGAAGTGATTTCATTTCATAATGGGATTGCCCTTGTCCAGTGGCTGCTGATATAATTTAAGAATTTACCAGATCTGATTCTTGTGTTAAGATTAGACAACCTGGTGTCCTCCAGCTGTTTTGGAGTACAAGTCCCAGAAGCCCTAGCCTTCATGGTGAATGCTCAGGAATTATGACAGTTGTGCTTGAAAACAATGGGGGACACCAGGCTTCCTATCACACTTTATTTAAAATTCACAGTGCCTATACAGAGAAATTGTATTGAAGAATGTACTTTTCGTAAAGGAAAGAAATTTCTACTGTATATAAACACTTTATAACACAAGCACATCAATATAGAAAATGGTTTTGTGTTGGCATTTCCCACCCAAACTCATTTAATTGCATATGTGTTTCACCTGGGGGAGTGGCAGACTCCAGAAATGATGCCTGCAATAGGTTTGTAGCCTGGGTGTTCTCCTTGAGCCATCTTTGTCACTTGAGACCCAGATGACTTTAGTGGCTCAGAGTGCCTTTCACCAGCTTTGGCTGGTGGCTCAGCTGTGCCATCTATTTGAACAGAGATAGCTTGTTACCAGTGATCTATGCTCTAGTAATCTCTAGATTGCTACAATGCACTGTGTGCAGGGCTGCCCTTGAAGACTGCAACTTGTGCAAAATGCAGCAGCCAGATTAATAACAGGGATCAGATAATCTGATTATATAATGTCAATTCTGGCCTGCTTGCATTGACTCCCTATATCCTTCTAAACCCAATTCAAAGTGCTGGTTTTAATCTATAAACCCCTACACAGCTTGAGACCATGATACTTGACGGAACAGTTCTGTCTTCGGCCCAGACAGTATGATCAAGTTCTGCAGCCTATCTCTGACTTCCATTTCTGAGGGAGGCTTAGTTGGTGGCAACAAGGAGAAAGGACCTTTTCAGTAGTGGCCCCCCAGATGGAATGAGCTCCACACTGAGGTCTGCCTGGCACCAACTTTACTGTCTTTGCAGCATCAGGTAGACTTTTCTCTACTGCAAGGCATTCAGGTAGCTTCTAGGGCCTTCTAGCTGCTAACTAGGAGTCAACTTCTCAGCAGAGATGATGGTGGACCTACTTCTTTTCCTTTGATGAGTCTGACCATAGAGATCATGCTCTACTTGCAAAGGGTTCCAGTTACAATCACTGGCATTTCTAGGTGGCGGTGGGAGGGACCTCTTTTTGAAAACCTGGGAAGCTGTTGTTAGTGCAGGCCAGCCTTCTCCAACTTGTCTCCTTCCGGCTGTGTTGGGTCTGAACTCCTGTCTTTTCCAGTCACGGAGTGCTGGGCTTTGCCCTCTAACATACTTGGGGTGCATCCCATTGGGAAAGGTTGGTGTAAATAGAACTGATCTAGATGGAACCATGATAGGAATCGGTATAAGGCAGTGCCCTTTGCTGATCAGGATCGTTGGTGGTAGTGTATCAGTTCCCTGGTTTCACATTTTAGAACTGATTAAGAGGATTCAGCTATCTCTGTGGGTTTTGTTCATTTTTAAAGTTTCACTATTTATAGAGGCATTTCTGTGCATGTTTTCTTGCAGAAACAAGTTCATATAAGACACCAAAGAGAAGACTGGCTCGGAGATCACGCTTGCCTACATTCAGTTCTCCAGTGAATGAAACTGAAATGCAGCAAGAGATTTTCTGGGATCCCCAATCACCAATTGCACATCAACTGGGTAATTGCTTACAGTAATGCATACTCAAACCTGTCCATTTAAGCATTAATTTCTCGCTTGGAATGTATGTATGGCCAACACCAGGTTACCTCCTGCCACATGCACCTGCCCAGTCATTCATAACTCTAGTAAAAACCCTGCTCTCAGTGCCCCCCAGTGAGGAAGATGGCTATTGGTGGTTTGGTTACCTTTGCAATGTAGTCCTGGTTGTAGAACTCCCCCCATACATTGTTCTGATGGAAGCCTGCAGTGTTGGGATGTAGGTGCTAAGGAAAAAGTGTTCTCTCTTCTCCCGTCATTTGGGAGTAACTAATTACTGCTGTATTTGTTCTGACTTTGGGCCAGTGTGCTTTTAATCCAAGATTGCATTGATATTTTGTATAGGGTTTGACTGCAGGTGGCGCAGTGGTTTAAACCGCTGTGCTGCTGGGCTGGTTGATTGAAAGGTCGCCGGTTTGAATCTGTACAACGGGGTGAGTTCCCGTTGTTCTGTCCCAGCTCCTGCCAACCTTGCAGTTCAAAAGCATGCAAATGCAAGTAGATAAAAAGGTGCCACTTCGGTGGGAAGGTAACAGCGTTCCGTGCACCTCGGTGTTTGGTCATGCCAGCCACATGACCACAGAGACTGTCTGTGGACAAACGCTGGCTCCCTCGGCTAGGAAACGGAGATGAGCACCGCCCCCTAGAGTCAGGCATGACTGCACTTAATGTCAAGGGGAAACCTTTACCTTTACCTTTTTTAAATTACTGCTATATTTGTTCTGACTTTGGGCCATTGCGCTTTTAATCCAAGATTGCATTGATATTTTGTATAGGGTTTCATTTATAATCTGTTAAGAGGTTGTATGGCTAAAATACATCACAAGCTAAATATGAGCCAACAATGTTATGCAGCTGCAAAAAAGGCAAATGCTACATTAGGCTGCATTAATAGAAGTAGCACTTCCAAATCAAGTGAAGTACTAATTCCCTCATATTCTGCAGTAGTCAGACCTCATCTGGAGTGCTGTGTTCAGTTCTTGGCACCACTATTTTAAAAAGATGCAGAAAAGCTGGAAAGGGTTCAGAGGAGAGAAACAAGGATGATCCAGGGACTGGAAACAAAGCCCTATGAAGAGAAATTGGGAGAACCAGGCATGTTCAGCCTTGAGAAGACTGAGGGCAGATATGATAGCACTCTACAAGTACTTGAGCAGCTGTCACAAAGAGGAAGGATGAAGGACAACATCTCAGTCATCCCAGAGTGCAAGACTTAGAATAATGGACCTAAGATACAGGAAATCCAAGTCTGACTAAATACCAGGAAAAATTACCTGACTGTTAGAGCAATATGACAATGGAACTAATTGCCCAGGGGGATTGTGGCCTCCCCCATAGTAGAGGCATTCAAGATGCAACTGGACAGCAGGTTGAATGGGATCATTTACTTTGGTGTCCTGCAGTAGCAGTGGATTGGACCCACTGGCATTTTAGGTCCCTTCCAACTCTTACTATTCTGTGCTTCTGTGAAGGCAGAGAAAGTAGAACTAAATGAGCCTTCAAAGTTTCAATGATAGTTGATAGTTTCAAAATAAGTCTTTACATTTTCACTATGATAAAAGTGGGGAATTCTGTAACATAGTAAATGAAATGTTTATGTTTTATATCATAAATGCAATGTTTACACACTTTCTGGCTGTGGTCTGCTTCTAAAGTTAGGAAATTTTTATTTTTCTGTAGAGTTTAGAAATTGCTAACTTATTTATATGTGTATACCTCAGGCAGTGAGCAGAGGAAGCAGGCAGTGAGTGGTTGTACTGTTGACATCTCAGAAATTGTTAATCGAATTGCTCCTCAGGTAATTAGTCCTAACATAGATAAAGCTGCATTGTCCCTGCATGTTTGCTTTCTTTGCACAAACTTCCACATTAAGAAAACAAATAGGAGAAGGCAGTTGCTTCTGCAACAATTCTCAAGGCTAACAAAATACATGCTCTAACTTGGTTTTTGATATATCTTAACATCTGCATATTGTGACAACTCTCATGAAGTTGAATCATATATATACAGGCAGTCTCTGAGTTATGAATATTTCAAGTTACAGAAACCCATACTGACGAACTGCCATATAGCCTATTAATTTTGAAAAATTAGTGCAGGAAATTGTCATCACCATAGAGAGAGGAAGCCAAAGGGGAGAAAAGAAGGGCCTCCAACACATGCCTTCCAGTCCCGCTCATCTGGAGAGGGAACTCTGTCTGGCATTTTCTTGCTGCAAAGAAGAGGTACTGGGTGAATTTGGATCAGGAAAGCTAGAGATATTTGTGGTTTTTCCACTTTCACAGGGGTTCTGCACCCCTAACCCTCGTGAATGTGGAGGGCCGACTATATATGATCCGACTTAACGTACAAATTCAACTTCAAGATGAATTTCTGTTTTCTCAGGAATGGAACTCATTCATAACCCAGGAACTGCTTGTATTTCTTGTTCAAATGAATATGTATATATTCAACTGATACTATTCCTATTAGTAATAGGTGCCTCTTAGTTTGAGGAAATGCAGTGTTTCAGTGGGTTATCTAGAGGCATTTCACTCCCTTCAGGGCCAAATCCGTCTATCTCATTCAGCCAGTGCATGTTCCAGATTTGTAGGGTGAGGGGTGCTTGTCCTCTGTGGGCTCCCCTTTCTGTGAATTCCTCTCCCAGCCGTGGCTGGAGCCTTGCTCACCCTGCTCTCCTAATTGTCACAACCCCTCCATGAGAGAACTCAAGGCGACTGGGAATTGCAGCTCCATCTGCTCAGTCTAAGGACAGCAAGTGGCCACAGCATGGAGGAGCTCAGCAGCAGGATCCTGAATGTGGCTGTGGGCCCTGCTAGATTCGCAAGAAGGCTGACCGTGAAGCCTTGGGTTTGAGGAGTGGAGATGTGGCTTTTGCCCCTCCTCCTGGAATTCAGCAGATAGCAATGCATGAGAAACCACAACTGACTGGCTTCCCATCTCTTGAAAGAGGGACCTCATGTCCCCTCTGTGCTTGCTTTCAGGTTAGCAGTAGAAAGGTAGCTTTTACTACCAGAACTTGACATGACATGGCTGATCCTCTGTTTGACTTATTGATTGATTTTTATATGTATTCTGTCCTTGAATGTTTGGGATCCTGGTGGAATACATGTTAGTCTGTTTTACTATGATACAGTATATCACAGAAGTGAGTACACCCCTCAGCATTTTGTAAATATTTTATTATATCTTTTCATGTGACAACCCTGAAGAAATGACACTTTGCTACAATGTAAAGTAGTGAGTATACAGCTGGTTTAACAGTGTAAATTTGCTGTTCCCTCAAAATAACTCAACACACAGACATTAATGTCTAAACCGCTGGCAACAAAAGTGAGTACACCCCTAAGTGAAACTGTCCAAATTGGGCCCAAAATGTCAATATTTTGTGTGGCCACCATTATTTTCCAGCACTACCTTAACCCTCTTGGGCATGGAGTTCACCAGAGCTTCACAGGTTGCCACTGGAGTCCTCTTCCACTCCTCCATGACGACATCACAGAGCTGGTGGATGTTGGAGACCTTGCGCTCCTCCACCTTTCGTTTCAGGATTCCCCACAGATGCTCGATAGGGTTTAGGTCTGGAGACATGCTTGGCCAGTCCATCACCTCTACCCTCAGCTTCTTTAGCAAGGCAGTGGTCGTCTTGGAGGTGTGTTTGGGGTTGTTATCATGTTGGAATACTGCCCTGTGGCCCAGTCGCCGAAGGGAGGGGATCATGCTCTGCTTCAGTATGTCACAGTACATGTTGGCATTCATGGTTCCCTCAATGAACTGTAGCTCCCCAGTGCCAGCAGCACTCATGCAGCCCCAGACCATGACACTCCCACCACCATGCTTGACTATAGACAAGACACACTTGTCTTTGTACTCCTCACCTGGTTGTTGCCGCACACGCTTGACACCATCTGAACCAAGTAAGTTTATCTTGGTCTCATCAGACCACAGGACATGGTTCCAGTAATCCATGACCTTAGTCTGCTTGTCTTCAGCAAACTGTTTGCGGGCTTTCTTGCGCATCATCTTTAGAAGAGGCTTGCTTCTGGGACAATAGTCCTGCATACCAATTTGATGCAGTGTGCAATGTATGGTCTGAGCACTGACAGGCTGACCCACCACCCCTTCAACCTCTGCAGCAATGCTGGCAGTACTCATACATCTATTTCCCAAAGCCAACCTCTGGATATGACGTGAGCATGTGCACTCAACTTCTTTGGTCAACCTTGGTGAGGCCTGTTCTGAGTAGAAACTGTCCTGTTAAACGGCTGTATGGTCTTGGCCACCGTGCTGCAGCTCAGTTTCAGGGTCTTGGCAATCTTATAGCCCAGGCCATCTTTATGTAGAGCAACAATTCTTTTTTTCAGCTCCTCAGAGAGTTCTTTGCCATGAGATGCCATGTTGAATTTCCAGTGACCAGTATGAGTGAGAGAGAGTGATAACACCAAATTTAACACACCTGCTCCCCATTCACACCTGAGACCTTGTAACACTAACAAGTCACATGACACCGGGGAGGGAAAATGGCTAATAATGCCCAATTTGGACAGTTTCACTTAGGGGTGTTCTCACTTTTGTTGCCAGCAGTTTAGACATTAATGGCTGTGTGTTGAGTTATTTTGAGGGGACAGCAAATTTACGCTGTTATACAAGCTGTATATTCGCTAGTTTACATTGTAGCAAAGTGTCATTTCTTCAGGGTTGTCACATGAAAAGATATAACAAAATATTTACAAAATGTTGAGAGGTGTACTCACTCCTGTGATATACTGTAGATGCCTTGGTGTTATTGGACACAAAAGCAGGTAGAAAAATACTTGAATGAATTAACTTTTAAAGAAAATCCCTTTGAAGATTGTTAAAATTTAGAGGTACGCATTTTTAAGCTCATCTGTGATGTTTGTATGTTTGCTTTTTATTGAGGATGAAAAACCTGAGTGTTGTGAAGGATCTCTTCTAGGGTTGTGGATTGGTGATAATGCAATTCCTTGTACTCCTGGAATAACGAAAGCACGCTCAAGAATAAAAGTGAATGGTGCAAGGTAAGTTGGGCCCTTTTTTGTTTTTTATTCTGAAAAGGATTCTTTGGCAATGGTCAGTTTGTTCTCCAGGCTTAGAAAGACTGCTTTCCCTGGGTGGGAGAGCGAACTTTTTCAACCCCAGGTGCAATACTAGGGATGTTTCCAGGGATGCAGGTCCATCTTGCTCCTTCTTCATTTGCTTCTGGAGGATTAGCAAAACTCTTTTAGTCTCCAGCAGCTTTTTAGAATATGAGAGGCCTTAAGCTAGTTTCTGTTCTATACTGTTGTCATTAGGTGGCTTTTTAGAAAGATTGTTCTGTTTGCTTGACTGGTTCAGTATTTCTGGATTGTTTAGTTGTGATGTTTTGGGCTGTTTGTTTTGTAATCCTGTCATTTCTAAGCTGCTTTGAAAGATGAGAAGCATAGTAAAAGTTATGGCTGTTTAAAGAGCTTAGCCAAAGAGTAAAAGTATGCCAACTTGAATAGGGCAGTGGAAATATTTTGTGTTCCTAATATTCATTTTTGCTTTAACTTGTTCATGTAGGGGGGTTCAGGTAAAGAATAGGGAAGAGGAGCTTATGAAGCTGGCAAAGGAGTTTGATAAAAACCTGACTGATGCAACACAGGATCAAGATGCTCTGTGCCACAACATTGCTTGCGTTACATCAACTGAAACTCAAGAGGAGGCTCGAGGAGAAAATCAGGAGCAGTTGCCTAGAGAACATCCCAGCGTGGGTGCTGCTGTGTGCTTGGATGTAGCTAAGAAGATGGGGTCAACTGAGCATTGTGAAAGCAGTAGCCAGAAATCCATAGAAACAGCTCTTAATGACCTTTTTGATGGCCCTACCCAGAAATGTAGTGGTGCTCTGAGCCAAGGCTCATTGAATTGTTCCTCAGATTCTAGTTTCCTTGAAAAGCAGAACACTTTGCTGAAGGAGAAGCACACATTGGATAATGCCAGAGCCGCAAGTGAATCCATGGCTGGAGATGTACCTCAGCAGCAAATCTCGGCCCCTGTTGGAAAATGCATGGGACTCTTTCCAGCTGGAGGAGCTGAAACAACTTCAGAAGAAGTGGTTCCAAGAGATGCCACTTCCCAGAAAGAGCCAGTTGACTCGACTGAGCTTGACCGAGTCACCTGTGATGACTTTGAGGACTGGGATGTAGATTTGTTGCCAGATGATTCATTTCTCCTGCAAATTACTCAGGACCCTGAGCAGAGCATTTTGGCACGTGCACTGCCTCGTTCTGCTAATGAAGGCAGCAAAATAACAAAAAGAATAGCAGACCCTGAGCGATTTTGCCTTGCCCAGTGTGCAACTTCGAATAATCATGATAAAGTTCCAGCATCATGTGCTTTATGGAAACAAAGCATGGAAATAGGAAAAAACAAGCCTGCTCTTCTGCATAAAGATTTCCCTTTAAAACCCAGTGCAATGGATTCTGTTTCGAAAAGCAGTCCAAACAGGGCTTCTGGCTGTCATTCTGTTTCAATGACTTTTGAAAATGGGTGTGTCCAGGGCAGCTTTACTCAACTTAAATGTGTGGCCAGCACTAACTCTCCTGGAAAAAGAGCTGCTTCTCCTTCAGTGGCCCGTCTCCCTAAACAACACTCTGGAAAATATCAGAGTAACATGCACAGGGCTAATCAACTGGCCACCATTTCTGCAACTGCAAAACCTCAAAGCTTAAAAAAAGCTGTTAGTCGAAACAGCACTGGCCCCCTGAAACAGACAGATGTGCCCCCCAAAAGTGTACTTTTGTTTGATGACTGGAACAAGTCTAGGTTCTCAGAGAAGGTTCCTGACCTGTTTTGTGAACCAACCAGTCCTTGGGGCCCTGACTATGATGATGATGACTTGCTTTATCAAGTCTGTGATGATATAGAAAAAAACACTCTGAGCCAGGATGTGAAAGAGAACGAAGAAGCTAAACTGGTGGTCAGAAAGACTAAGTCAGAGGTGGGAACATCAGTTCAAGGAGTTTCAAATTGCCTGCTTGCCCAAAGGAGCCATGTGGGCAGGAAAACCTTCTCATTGGATGCTACACTTAAAATTGCAACATTGGGAAAGCCTTGCAGTCCTGCAGACAATTCTGTACAGCACAGTGGTGCACTATTGAAACCTGAGAGTGTCAGCAGTATTCCCAGAAAATGGCACAGGTTTCATTCAGTGCCTGAAGGAGGCTTTGTTTCCAGTGGTAGCTCAGCTACTCTTTCAGATGTGTGTGCAAACAATAATACACTGCAGCCGGGTGGCCTGTATAACATGGGCAAAGTAGAGAATACTGGCGATACTAATCATGTTCCATCTGCAAAGACAAACTGTGTGTTCAGAAACACCAGTAACTCCCAAAACCTTGTTTTGGACTGTAAAAATGTGAAAACAGCAACCCTTTCTCGAACTAAGGTGGGGCTCTGTGAAAGCAGAAATGCACCAAACATTCCAGTTCAGTCCACACTACAAGTGAATTTGAAACCAACTTTAAAGAGGCACCTCTCTGATAGTTTTGCACAGTCTCAAACAGGTAGGTTAGCAGTCACAGGCAAATGCATGATGTTGTGGGGTTTCTCAATAATGCCAGAATGTCTCTCAGTGTTAGCTTGATTAAACATAAATGACTGGGAGAATGTATTTGTTGCTGTGTAGGGCTGTCCTGTAAAATAGCATCAAGTCCTTCCATCCTGCTCCCAGTGTCTTTGCTCATAGGTTGACCTGCAGGATGGGAATGGCGAACCTCAGGTCATGGGCCAAACATGGTTTGCCTGGGGTTCCAGTGTAGCACTTCAGGCTACTTCAGGTGGCAGCCATGCCTCCCTTCCAACCAGCAGTCATTTGGTGCCTTTCTGGCATTTGTTTAGTGCCCCCCACCTGCATTCGAAAAGGTAGAAATGCCTGTTGCAAGGCTAAGTAAGAGCTTTCAGGGAAAATCAGCTGGCCCTGTGTGTTGGGGGGATATTCCCCTGCTTTTGCTTCTCACCCCAGCTGCTATTCAAGTGCAGCCCGCTGCAACTTCTTTGAAATTGTATTGGCACTTGCATCTTTATCCTGCTGAATTCTTCCTTCCTTTGTATTTCAAAGTAGCTGTTAATGTTTCTAAAATTGAAATATGCCAAGAGAGCAGGGCTATGGGAGAATTCTGCTGGGTGGCGGGGATGGCGGGGCAGGGGGATAAAATCTTGATAGAAATTGGTTTGGTCTGGGCAGATTTCATTTCATTTCCTAATAGTAAAGGGCTCCTCTACCTCCCAGAGCTGGTTCTCAGGGACTGAGTGGGCTTTCATCCAAGCTTCTGAGTTCTCTTCTCTGCAACTCTGCATCCAGCACATTGTGCCCAATATTTGTGAATGCCTGGAAGTTCTCTCCATGGAAATATCCAACATATAGCTAGGTGAAATTAGGTTTGGTTGATCTGGTTGGTTGGTAGATTAAAGTCATTTATGTATCATTTTATTAGCATAAAGTTCTCAAAACTTTATTGTATAAAGTTTATACAATATAATTAAAATATATAAAATCCCACCATTAGAACAATTTAAAACAGATTTGGCTACAGTTAAAAAGATCTCTATGTAATAAATTTTTTTTTTTTTGAAGGGCCATGCAATAACAATGACACAGTACAGTAAATAATAACCATTATTCCACATGTACCTGACAGTTTAAAGGCCAGTGTAAAACTAGAAAGTCAGCAATTAAAATGGGGGGAAAATAAAGTTTTAACCTGGCACTGGAATGTATATAACATTGGTGTCAGCCATATTTCCCTGGGAAGCTGATTCCACAAGCAGAACACCACAGCTGAGAATGCCCTTCCCCTTTTAGTTGCCCTCTTCACTTCCTTTAGGGGTGGCTCATGGAGAAGGACCTCGGTAGATTATCTTTTCCCCTCGCTTTTTAATTTATAAAATATAACAAAACACACTGCATTTAAAATACAGACATAAACATTACCATGAATAATTATTACATTACTGTGCTCTGTACCACCAGGACCAAGGATACATGTCACAGATAAAACAAAAACTGCAGATACATTCTCCTCTTCCAAAACTGTAATGATTCTTTTGACAACTCAAATCCTTTCCCTTTCTTTAAAAGTTAGTCAATGAATATACCCTAAATCTCATTAAACTTATTTTTCTTTATGTGCCCTTTTTTCACTTTAATATCACATGTTAATTTATTAACCGTTGTATTCCAAACTTCTCCAATCAGACAATTGGCAATCATATTTTATTTTCCAATTGTTAGCTATAATTAGTCTTGCTGCAGTTATTAAATTTGTTATTTATTCTTTGTTATTCCAACTGCATTGTTTATACTCAGACATTGAAAGTAATGCAATCTCAGGGCATATGTGTATATTTAGACTTAATATTTTACAGTGCTCTTTAAAAATCTCTTCTCCAAAATTTATTTTATTTGCATTCCCACCACATATGAAAATATGTACCACATCTCCAACATAAATTGGACTATTCATTGTCTATGCAATTCATCTTCACTGGGGCTAGTGAATTTCTATACAATTTTGTAGAAATTTTCTTTATTCTTCCTGACATCTATTTTAATATCCTCTTTGAAAGGGACAAAGAGGATATTAAATATTTGGACATTCGCATATTCTCTTGTCTTTCCATTTCTGTAATCATACCTTCAAGTTTTGGATAATCCCTGCATTTACCTTTTTTCTTCTCTGTTCTATAGTCCAGCATGCCAATTGAATCACATTATACCAAGTTATATTCTCCTTTCCCAGTACTGCTTTTATCTCCCCATTATTATTCATTTTCTCTAACCAGTCTTTTAATCTAACCATTTTAATTCCTTAATATTTTCCCTAAATTCCACCTTAAGTTTAATAGAAACCCTTTTCATTCAGTAATTGGACATAATGGTGAGATAGATGGCATATATTTCCCCTTTTTGCTTATTCCAAATATGTAATGTATTCTTAAGGAAAGGATATTCTATATTTTATAATATTTTTATTTCCACAATTAAAAATAAAATCTATCAAGGAAGCTTCTAATTGAGAAGGTTCTAGTTTTTGCTGTATTAAGTTATCAGGTTATAATATAGTATCTGGTTGGTCAGCTGTACAATATAAATTATTTATTTATTTATTTAAAACATTTCTATGCTGCCCCATCGCAACAAAGCCTTGGGGCGGCTCACAACACATAAATAAATACAGAAGTAATAAAATAAATAAGTACTAAATTATACAATAAATAACACCCCCCAGTGCATTCTTGGCTAAAAAAAAAAAAAACCCTAGTTAATAAATAATTAACAGTTAAAATAAGTTTTAAATAAAAAGGTCTTAGCCTGGCACCGAAAAACAAATAACAACGGCGCCAGGTGGACCTCTCTGGGGAGCGCATTCCATAGATGGGGTTCCACCACAGAGAAAGCCCTCCTCTGGGTGCTCACCCTCCTAATCTCATAACAGAGGGTTCCCGGAATAGGGCATCTGCTGCTGACCTCAAGGGGTGGGAGGGCATATATGGGTGCAAGCGTTCCTTTAGATAACCAGGTCCCAAGCCGTTTAGGGCTTTATAGGTCATAACCAACACCTTGAATTGGGCCCGAACTTCAATCGGGAGCCAGTGGAGCTGACGGAGAACTGGGGTTATATGAGAACAACACCCAGTTCCCGTCAGCAACCTGGAAGCTCTGTTCTGCACCAATTGAAGTATCCGGACCGTCTTCAAGAGTAGCCCCACGTAGCGTACGTTACAGAAATCTAATCGGGAAGTTACCAGCACATGTGTCACTGTCGCCAGGCAGTCATGCTCTAGGAAGGGACGCAGCTGATGTATCAGCCGAAGCTGAAGGAAGGCGCTCCTCGCCACTGCCGTCACCTGAGCTTCCAAAGACAGCTCAGGGTCGAGGAGCACTCCCAAGCTGTGAACACTGTCCCTCAGAGGGAGTGCAACCCCATTTAGGACAAGGCCCAAGTCCCCCATCCCGAGGTCTGATCCGCCCACCAACAGGACCTCCGTCTTGTCTGGATTGAGCTTCAGTTTATTGGCCCTCATCCAGCCCATTACCTCGGCCAGGCACCGGTTCAGCACAGCCACTGCCTCACCTGGATTGGTGGAAAATGAGAGGTAGAGCTGGGTATCATCAGCGTACTGATGATTCTGCAGCCCACGCCTCCTGATGACCTCTTCCAGCGGTTTCATGTAGATGTTAAAAAGCAAAGGGGACAAAATGGACCCCTGCGGAACTCCATGGGATAACTGCCATGGCGCAGAGCCATAGTACCCCAGCACCACCTTCTGAAATCGGCCATTGAGATAGGAGCGGAACCACCGCCATGCAGTGCCTCCAACTCCCAATCCTGCAAGCCCATTCAGAAGGATACCATGGTCGATGGTATCGAAAGCCGCTGAGAGGTCCAGGAGAACTAACAGGGATGCACTCCCCCTGTCTCTCTCCCTGCACAGGTCATCATACAGGGCGACCAAGGCAGATTCAGTGCCATACCCGGGTCTGAAGCTGGACTGAAATGGGTCCAGATAATCAGTTTCATCCAAGAGTGCTTGGAGTTGTTCTGCCACCACCCGCTCTAGCACCTTGCCCAGGAACGGGAGGTTGGCCACCGGTCTATAATTGACGGCCACCTCTGGATCCAGGGCTGTCTTCTTTAGGACTGGCTGGACTACCGCCTCCTTTAAAGGGGCAGGTACCCGGCCGTCTCTTAAAGAGGCGTTGACCACCTCCAGGATCCAGGTCACAATCCCGTCCTTGGCTTTCTTAAGTAGCCAGGATGGGCATGGGTCTAGTAAGCAAGTGGTAGGATGTACTTGTCCAAGCACCTTGTCCACATCATCAGGCTGCAACAACTGAAATTCATCCATTAATTGTGGACTTAACGGCGTCGATGGCATCTCCCCAGTAGAATCTGATCCTATAGCAGAGTCAAGCTCATGGCGAATCTGAGTGATTTTCTCCCTGAAATGCTTGCCAAAGTCGTCACAGCAGGCCTTCGAGGGTGGCACAAGATGTATCTTCGGGCCTGGATGTATCAGCCCCTGCACCACCCGGAAGAGTTCCACCGGACGGCATTGTGAGGAGGCAATGGAAACGGAGAAGAATTTCTTCTTCGCCATCCTCACTGCCACAGCATAGGCCCGATAATGGGCTCTCAAGTGTGTTTGATCAGAATCACCCCGTGATCTCCTCCGCCTACGCTCTAGACATCTCCCAACGTGCTTCATCGCCCGTAATTCAGGCGTATACCACGGAGATGAACGGGCTCTGCCAGGCGGGAGAGGACGCTTGGGAGCGATCGTGTCAATAGTCCTGGTCATCTCCTCGTTCCACAGTTCAACCAGGGCATCGACAGGAGCACCAGCCTTGTCAACCAGAAAATCCCCCAGAGCTTCCAGGAATCCATCAGGATCCATCCGGTTCCGGGGGTGGACCAATACAATTGGGTCCGCACCCTTGCAGAGGGAAAGGCCGCTCTCGAGCTCAAACCTTATGAGGAAGTGATCTGACCATGACAAGGGCGTCAAACTTAAACTCCTCACCCTCAGGTCACCCTCTTCCTGCCCAGTCGAGAAAACCAGGTCCAGAGTGTGTCCATGTTCATGGGTTGGGCCTATGATGTGTTGAGACAGTCCCATGGCCACCATGGAGGCCATGAAGTCCTGAGCCACCCTGGTTAGAACCGTCTCGGCATGGAAATTGAAGTCCCCCAGGACCAACATCCTGGGAGTCTTCAGCACCAGGTCTGAAACTATCTCCATCAGCTCAGGGAGTCTGTTGGGCAGAAGGGTGCACGGTACACCAACAGAATCCCCAATCTGTCTCGGTCGCCCAACGCCAAGTGGAGGCACTCCAGCCCTGGTCTCGAGAGGACAGGAAGCCCCAGAAGGGAAATAGAAGCTCGATAAACCAGAGCAACCCCCCTCCCCTCCCCTCCAGGCGTGGTCGGTGCTGGACCAGGTACCCCGGCGGTACCTGGTCCATGTTAGGGATTCCCAATCCCTAACATGGGATTATGTTAGGGATTCCCAATCGCCCTATCTTTTGTGATTTATCCTCCGAAGGTAATATAAGGGTTCAGATAGGTGTTCATGGGAGAAGACCATTTAGGCCTTTATGCATTCGCGTAAGCACCTTAAAATGGGCCTGCACTTCAATTGGTAACCAGTGCAAGTGATATAGCACCGGGCTAAAGTTCATATCCACTTGTTCCCCTCAGTAGATGAGTTTCCCCTATTCTGTATCAGCTGAAGTTTTCAGCCTGTTTTCAAGGGCAGGCCCAAGTAGAGTGCATTGTGGTTTTTGTTTGATTGCTTTATTGGTGGTGGTGGTGGTTTTTGTTTTTTTTGTTAAGTCGCAAAGTTGTGCCCGACCCATCACAACCCCATGGACAGCATTCCTCCAGGCTCTCCTATCCTCCATCATCCCCCGGTGTCTGCCCAAGCCCATACCCACTGCTTCAGTGACTCCATCTAGTCACCTCATCTTCTGTTGTCCCCTTCTCCTTTTGCTGTCATTCGTTCCTGGCATCAGGATCTTCTCCATTGAGTTGTTCCTTCTCATTAGGTGGTCAAAATACTTGAGTTTCATCTTCAGTATCTGGCCTTCTTAAAGAGCTGTCAGGGTTGATTTCCTTTAAGATTGACTGGTTTGATCACCTTGCAGCCCAAGGGATTCTCAGGAGTCTTCTCCAGAACCACAGTTCAAAGGCCTCAATTCTTCGGCGCTCAGCCTTCCTTATGGTCCAAGTTTCACAGCCATACATTGCAACTGGGAAAACCATAGCCTTGACTATATGCACTTTTGTGGGCATGGTGATGTCTCTGCTTTTCAGTATGCTGTCCAGATTTGCCATAGCTTTCCTCCCAAGGAACAAGCATCTTTTAATTTCTTGGCTGCAGTCACTGTCTGTGGTGACCTTGGAGCCCAAGAAAATAGGCTAAATGTGAGGTTACCAGTATGTGGATTGGCATTGCTAGGTTCTGCCTGTCCAGATAGAGACATCGTTGGTAAATCAACCAAAGTTGATGGAAGGTGCTCCTGGCTACAAATGTCACCTGAGTCTCAGATGTCCAAGAGCACCCCCAGGCTCTGGACCTCATCCTTTGGGGAAGTGCCTCCCCATCCAGGACAGGGTGGATGGCATCCCCCTGAATCAGGGCTCCCCTTACTAATAGCACATCAGTATTAAGCTGGATTAAGCTTTCATTTATTCATCCCTATCCTGCCCATCATTCCAGACAGGCACCTGTTTAAGATCTTGACTGCCCCACTTGGGTCAGATGTAAATGAGAGGTAGAGTTAAATGTCATCAGTGTACTGATGACCCTTCAGCCCAAACCCCCAGATGGCATTTCACAGTGGTTTCATGCAGATGTTGAACAGCATGGGGTTAGATAGAGCCCTGCACTACTCAGTGGTATAAAAGCCATGGGACAGTGGTACTATATTCCCCAGTCACACCTTCTGGAATTGGCCAGTCAGATAGAAGTGGAACCACTACAAAGCATTGCCTCCAACTCCCATCCCAAGCAACCTCTTTAGAAGGGTACTGTAGTCAATGGTATTGAAAGCTGCTGAGAGGTACAGGAGAACCAACAGGGATGTACTCTCTCTGTCTTTCTCCCAGCAGAGGTCATCCCACAGGGTGAGCAAGGCAGCTTCAGTCCCAGAACCGGGTCTGAAACTGGCTGAAATGGAATCAGATGATCCATTTCCTCCAAGAGTGCATGGAACTCCCCAGGCACCACCTGTTCTATCCCCTTGCCCAGGAAGGGAATGTGGGCCACCTGCCAATAGTTGTTAATATCTTCTGGGTCCAGGTTTGCCGTCTTCCAGAAGGCCTGATCACTGCCTCTATTATTGGAGACAGGACCAGCATCTCCTTCAAAAAAGGCGTTTCCAACTGCCTGGACTTAGATGAGCAGCCATGAGGGGCAAGGATCAAGAGTATAGGTGGTAGCCAAACTTGTCCAAGCCACTTGTCCACCTCATGAGGCTTCAACAGTTGAAACTTACCCTATAAAATGGGCCCAGACAGTGCACTGGATGCCTCCACTGATAGGACTACATCAAATGTGGAGTCCAATTTGTGATGGATCTGAGTGACTTTATCCTCAAAGTGATGTGCAGATTTGTCACAGTGGGCTGCCAAGGCTTCTGTTGAATTTTCTTTAGGGCTGACATGTAAAAGGCCATGAACCACTCCAAACAGCTCCACTTGACGGCACTGAGAGGATGTAATGCTGGTAGAGAAGAAAGCATTCTTTGCTGCTTTCACCACCATGGAGCTGGCTTGATGATGAACTCTTACCCATGTTCAGTCAGATTCAGCCTGGGTTTTCCTCCTCTTGCACTCTAGCCATGTCCCAATTCCTTCATCGCCCACAGTTCTGCTGTAGAGCATGGAGCCATGTGGGCTCTGCAATTGGGAAGAGGGTGCTTGGGTGATTTCTGTATTTCACAGAGCACCCCGAGGTTCAACAGGAGCACCAACCATATCAGATGGATAAACTCCCAGGGCCTTCTGGAAACCAAGTGGATCCAGCAGACTCTCGGGGCAGAACATTTTAATAGGTTCACCACCCTTGCAGAAGGAGAGAGTAGTCAAAGTCTAAATCTCAAGTGGAAGTGATCTGACCATGACACAGGGCTAATATTAACCCGCACCCCACCCCCCACTTCCAGACCACTATCTTCCTGCCCAATTGAAAAAGCAGGTCAAGAGTGTGGCTTTTTTCATGTGTTGGGCTTCTAACATGCTGAGACAGCCCCATTGGTGACCATGAAGTCCTGAGCTGCTCTGGAGAGAGTAGCCTCAACATGAAGGTTGAGATCCCCTAGAACTACCATCCTGGGGGATCCTTAGCATCAAGTTGGAGATCATCTCTGTCAGCTCAGGTAGGGAGTCTATTGTGCAGCAAAGGAGATGGTACACAAGAAGCAAGTCTTCCTCAGTTGCCCAACACTTAAGTACAAACACTCAACACCTGTTTATATGGCTCTACTGGTCAGTGCTCTTTGAATGGAAATACTGGAAGTAATGCATCAATAGAAGAACCGTAACAAATTAAAATAAAAGCTATTGTGGGCATCCTTGGAACAAGTCTCATTTCCCCTCTGCTATGATAGACATTCAGACCACATGACAGGAATCATGGGACCATCTTCCTTATGGGATTCTAGTGGATCATGAATGAGCTTGCAGCATCTTACCATGGAAGTACCTTGGAGCTAGATAAACTGGACTCTTTCAGAAGGTGATAGTGAAAAGGTGGGATTCATAATGCATGTTTTATTTTACAGACCTGAAAAGTCGGTGTTCTCAAGAAGAAATTGCACGGAAAAAGAAAGAAGCTCTTGAGCGGAGGAAATGTAAAATGCAAGCATTGCTGAAAAATACAGCACCTACCTGAGAAGGTCAGCAGGTTGGATGTAGAGAAATTATTGACAACTGAGCAAACACACTTACAGCCCCCCCCCCCCCAATACTACTGATTCCTTAACCTTTTTCTCTTGGTTCTTCTGGGATAGGCCAGCATTGCCTTATAAAGAAAGAACTGCGTGGAGTTTTGTTTTTAGTTCTGTTTCTCTGAAACCGTGGCCTGGCTTGCATATCAGGACAGCCCATGGGTTGTTAAAAGCATGGGTTGCTGAGGGTGAGTGAGTGAGTGGGCACATTGCTTTTTATCCACATACCACTTCTGCCTTGATCTGTTTTTTCAAACCCATGATTTGTTCTTGGGTTCAGGTGTCTGCCTTTCATCAGGCCAGAATGCAGGGTTCAGACATCATGCCAGCCAACTCAGAAATTGATGTTCTGCAGTTGTGTGTAAAAGTGGGGGCAATGGGGAGGAGCAGGCAGAAGTCCAGCTTAGCCCCAGCAATGGATGCATTCAGGAAGCCATGATTTCTCAGTATGTGTGAACCAGGTCACTGTCATTGAGCTGTGAATAGTTTGCTTGGTCCAGGATTGCCATTCCATGACCTGGCTCAGTGTCCCAGTTATCAGCTCTTCTCAGCGAAGAGAGCAACGGGCATCAAGTATCCCATCTTCAATACTGTGCTGGTTTTAATTGACCATGTGTGAGGAGGCAGTTGCCTCCAGATGTTTTCATTTAATGGCATATTCATCATGTGGCTCCTTCCCATTTCAAAGAGGTTCTCAGAACTTGCTGCATGTATAACCATTAACTCCAGGAGTATCTATGATACTGTTCCAAGTCTAGCAGCTTGTGGGAATGTAGAAACAGAATGAATGCAAAACTGCCATATGAAGCTTAGATGCCACTTCACACGTTGGGAACATCTATACTTTTGTATTATTGCAGCAAGAAAGCGCACAAAGCTTTTCTGCAGTTTACATATGTATGTAAATTATGTACACTGTATAGATTGTGATTAAACTTACAGCTGCTTTTGTGACAACACTATTTTCTAATCTGCGGTTGTAAACCTGAGCTTTAATGGAAGCTTCCATTTCCATAAGGGAGCAGGTTTCCCAAGCTAATCAGGGTGAATCAGCTGGCCACTATTTCCACCACTACCAAGCCTCCTAGCCTAAAGAAAGCTGTTGGTCAGAACAGCAATGGCCCCCTGAAACAGGCAGAAGTGCCCCCCAAAAGCATGTTTCCTTTTGATCATTGGGATGAGCCTACAGCAGTTTGCCCCAAGAATCTGCCGCATTGCTTTCTGCCCAGCAGTCTCCAGGTAGCAGGCAGGATGGTTCTGCCAGTGGGGCCTCAACATTGCTGGCTGCGATGTGGGCTCACTCCCAAGGAAGAGTTGTCACCCCATGATGTCCACATGGCTGCGGTCCATTTTGGGGGGTTGAGAAGCTGAGCTGAACGCAGGTCTGGGGGACCTTGTGCATTCCTGCTGATTCAAGGGAAGCTGAGCAGTGCTTCCTTTCTCATCCTCCCTCCCTCCTGCGTGTGGTAGAAGAGAATGAGGGCTTGGCAGCTCAAGAAGATTCTGCTTGTAGCTTTTTGAGGAGGCTGTCTTGCCCAAAGAAACCGAGCATAGGTAGCCGGGAGGAAGCCTAGAGGGCCTCAGATTCTTGTGACAGGACTTTCCCTGTGGGCTTAAATTGGGAACAGAAAAACCCAAGTGCCAGTTGGGGAGGGCTGGTGGACTCAGCTTCCTCTTGGTGGTGCTAACGGAGGGTCACTGGCTACAACTCAACTTCGGGCATCACTTCTACCAGGGCCATATCTACTCTCCATGAGATGCCTTCATCCAGAATCTCAGCATTGCAGCCGCTCAGGATTCTTGTATCATAGCACAAATGTATGCAAGGTATGGGAGGCAAAATTAGGGAAGAGCAGGAGCAAGTCACACTGGGTACCAGGGGCTGAAATTGTAATTTGAGATTATTGAAGGAGCACATTTTTTTGGATCAAAGCACACCCCACAGGAGAGGGCATTTTGTGTGTCTGAAGAGTACACACCAATAATTGCTGGCCCAGCCAAGACATCTCTTGTTCACACAGACACTCCTCATCTTCAGGGCTGTGAGTGCTGCCTCATAACACCTGCTTCGGGAAGGAAAGAAAGCCCAGAAAGGCAGTGTTTACTCAGTCAGGCCTCCATCCATCTAGGTCAATGCTGTCTACTCTGCAGCAGCAGGGGCTTGCCAGATTTTCAGGATGAGTCCTTCCCAGCCCCTCCTGGAGATGCTGGGGCCTGAAGCCAGGTTCTTTAGGTCCCCAGTAGCTGAAGCCTCTGCTGGCAGCCATTATGGGCCCTAAATTGGGACCACATCTGGTTCAAATAATGTGAATTCAGTTATGATATAATCACCTTCAACTGCATTACAGAATCATAGAATAAAACGGTTTCATAAATTATTGAATCGAGTCTGGGTTCTTTTAACAAGGACTTGACCTGTTTGGCTTGCTTTATTGAGTGTGTGATGATAGAGGGAAAAAAACCCACTCTGATTCAGGACATGAAAGAAAACAGAAAGGCTATGCTCATGGTCACAAAAAGTTCAAAGTCAGTGGGAGCACTAGTTTGAGGATTGCCTGATGGCCCAAAGGAGCTACGTGGGCAGGAAAAAATTGTTGGATGCTGCACATACAATTGCGACATTGAGGAAGCTTGAGTTTGCACAAACAGGAAGCGTGCCAGAATGCTCCACCAGTGTGGCCCCAGCTCGACATGGCAAGCAGCTTGTGTGAGGGGCTTGCCCCAAGAATCAGCCCCCGCTGCCTTCTGCACAGCAAACACCTGTTGGCAGCAAGCGTGTTTCCTGGCAGTGGAGCCCTGACAGCAGGGGAGCCCAAGGAAGGGTGGTAGCCACAGGGTGTCCACATGGCTGCGGTCAGTTTGGGGGATCTGAGAAGCTGTGAGCCCTGCCCCTACCTGCTGATCGATCGCAGAGAACCTGAGCGGTGGCTTCTCTCGTTTTTTCTCTCTGAGTTGGCGCGTGCGTGTCTGGTAGAAGAAGAGGAGGACTGGAAAAGTCAAGATGCTTTGGCCCGTACCTGTTTGAGGAGGCTGTCTTGCCCTAAGAAAGTGAGCATAAATTCCTGAGAAGACCCAAGAGGCCCCTCACTTTTTTCAATAGGAGTTACAGCAAAGGCTCAGAAGTGGAATGGAAAGTCCCCAGCACCCTTTGGGAAGCCCTGGCAGTGTCGGCAGCATCTTGGCAGTGCGGGTGGATGTGCCCTTCCACTAGCTGGTTGTAACACAGCTCGGGGCATTGCTTGCATCAGGGCCGTGTCCACCCCCTGTGAGATGGAGAGCCCGTGCCTCCATTGCAGCCTTTCTGTTGTTTGCAAAATGCTATTTCTGTGTGGGGCAAAGAGAGTGGCTTCCCCTCTCTTGGAAGCTCGGTCTCGGGGAGAGTCTGGCAGGCCAATGATGCTACAGCTATATGAAATTCCCCCAGCTTTGGAAGTTTCCGTATTACCTGCCGAATGAAATCAAGATTTCCCAAATGTGTACGCCCATGAAACACATTTTTCATCACTACAGGGGACTCTGTATTTCCCGGCATCACGTGTGGCCCTCCCCTTCCCTTCAGTCACTGATCTTCTCTGGTCAATAATGTAAAGCTGGATCCTGGGAAGCGCATCCTTGCGTGAAAGGAGCCCAGTCTCCGGGGGCAGGCTAGTTGCCTATGGGGATGGGGTTGCAGTCCCTCCGAAGAGTCGGGTCACTGTCTGGGCTACCCCTTGGCCCATCATCCTGGAGACCCTGGTGGCAAAGGTGCTTGTTGCCAACCTTGACCCCGCACCTGCCGCAGGGCCACCCTGGGAGCTGCTCTGGAAGGTTCAGCACGGGGCTGCAGCCGGGCTGCGGCACAGGCTGTGCCTTTTCAGAAAGCGACTTTGTGGCAGAGGGAACTGAGCCTGCTCCTCGCACTCCTGGTTTGGGGCGCTAGTGTGCAGAGCCCTGAGTACAGATTGACCCCTCCCCTGGACTCTGGCCTGCTTTGCCATGGCCAGAAGTCCGACTTGGAGCCAGGTGTTTGAGTTTGCAGGAGCCAAGCCCACACAGAGGTCTGACAGAAGGAGAAGGGCCGGATTCGGAGAGCATAATCACAACCCAGGCCTGAGCAACTGGTAGCAGGATGCCTGAGCGAACCCCTTGCCCGTCGGGCCCTGGCTGGTTCTGTAGTTGCTGGCTGGCATGCTATGTGGGGCTGTGCATGCACCCGTGGCGTGCACCCCCAACGGCTGCAGCATGGTGCTGGTTTCCCCAGCATCCCCTGGCCCTGGGCAGAGCCATCCTCACTTGCTTCTGCTGCTGTGCTTCACCTTTCAGTCCCCCACTGCAGAGGAGGCCACACACATGTGTAGTGATGTACGTGTGGCTGCTGTATGGAAGGGCAATGGTGTGACAGATGCCACATTGGGTCTGGCACAAAGACCCGGGTGGACTCGGGGAAAAGCCACACGGAGACCAGGGCAAGGATTGCATTGGTTTATTTGGTGCTGGTGCCAGCTGGGAGGCGAACGGGATGCAAGCGGAGGCGGGAGGGTCGAGCAAGTCTTGCTGGGATTGTGGCAGGGAGGGTGGAATCCCTTCAAATTGGGCTTTGAGTTCAGCAACACTGTTGTCCTAGTCCAGGTGGTGGTGCTTCCCCATCAAAAAAGCCTCAAATGTGCCTCAGACCCGAACACCGAGCTGGAAAAGACCCAAGAATATACAGTCAGAAAATTTCATTACGCATTCAGCTCCATTCCCTCTGCCGATTCCCAACCCACATCATGAGGATGGCCAAACTCTGGCTCCTACCGAACTAAGACACACGCTCCCTTTGCCTCTGATTTTGCTCTTTTAGGAGTTTCTGCATGTACTTTTTTCTGAGCAGACACAGACTGATTTGCAGTCTGAATTTTCCTAATTGCAGCCCTTTCAAGGTGTGAAGACATTGCCCATTTCTTAGAGCAACTCATCTGGGGAATGCTTGGTGGGGAGGGGAGGGGAGGGGAGGGGAGGGGAGGGGAGGCTTCATCTGACATGCCCAGCTTTACACAGAATGGTTGGGACACACTACGGACGATGTGTAAGCAGCTGTTCAGTGGTGTTCCAATAAAATACCTGCAGTAAAGGAACCATCAAGGGTAAAGAAGAAGGAAATATTCCTCACCTCTGTATATGTTGTATATACACCTCTGTTCAATGTTGTGAACCACCCAGAGAGCTTTGGCTATGGGTGGTATAGAAATAATAATAATAATAATAATAGTAATAATAATATAATAATAATAATAATAATAATAATAATAATAATAATAATAATAATAATATATGCTTCTTAAGAAAGCGGTGTCTTCAGATAAGGTTTCTGTGATTGCCTCCAGCTCCCCGTTGTTCATTATGGAAGGAACCAGATCCTTTAAAAAGGCAAGATATTTTCAGCTGCAATGTGGTGGCACAGTTGTTGAGCTTCTAGGGCAACATGGCTGCCTACATGTGGATGATTGTGGAGTGAGCAACTCAGAGAGTGGCTGAGAATTCTGCCCTACATGGTTGTTTCTGTGTCAGAAGTTCCCATAGGCTAAGGCTACTGACTTCATTAACAATGAAGGATACCTCCATATGGTGAAAACCCTTAACATGTGTTTTTAAATGAAATACAAAATCACACAGATCTCTTTTAAAGAGACGGTTGACCATTCACAGCATTCCTGCTCTGCTCTCCTTTGGCAGCACAGCACTTCCCCTGGGACAATTTCCCCTGTGAAATCCACCCATTTACTCACCCTGAGCATTGCAGACCAATTCCCTGCCGCTGTGCACTGGTTGATCACACCTTCATACCTGGCGCTGAGGACAACAATATTTGCTTTAGGACATGGGCAGCAGATAGCCACCTACCTTAAAGCATGTCAGGCAATCCCTTCCTAAGCACCCATTAGCCAAGAATCAAAGAGGTTGCGGGAGAGAGAGAGGAGCCTGTACTTGTTCTGGGA